TATATATATAATATATAATATATATATATATATATATATATATATATATATATACCATAAATATATGTAAGAATGGAAAGAATTTTTTATATTGAAAATAAAATATGAAAATGTTATAGAATACAACATATTTCTCTTTTTTTTTTAAATTTAAAAATCAATTACTGAAATTAATTTGAATTAATTTTTCTATACGTCAATTACCACATTTATGTGTAATAAATAGTAAATAATAGTAATTAAATATTAAAATCATAAAAATTATTAATGTTAACAGAAAAAAAATGTGATTATGTATATTGATTGACGTAAATAATAATTACATTTTCATTTTATGTTTATTTCTTTAATTTGAAAGTAATTGATCAATTTATGAATGCAAAATCATTATCCAACTTTCAATCAGTTGATTACCATTCACTATGTGAACGCGACAAATATGTCAAGGATCTAGAATTGTTTATTTGACATTTTCAACAAGTAATAATGATTTTTCATTTTATATTAATCTTCTAATAATAATAATAAAATAATTTTAATTTGTGATTTTAAATTTTTTATTATAAATTTTTTTCATTTAAAAGTAAAAATCGTTTTTATAAAAATTTCTATCAAAAAGAGAAAAAAATTATTATGTGCTAAACAATAAACGTTTGTTTTTAATTTAAACATGATTGCATAATGAATAATTTTTTTGATCATTGAATATGATATCATTAAATATATATTATTGAATATATATACTCGAAATGAAATCATTTATTTTTCAATTTAATTTTAATTATGAAAGAAAAAATTCTATTGGTATTAACTCCAGAAGAATAAAGAGGATAATTATTAAGAATTCCTTTTGTAGTTAAAAATTGTTATATTATTGATGTGTATACAAGCTCGAGATGACAATTGTTGTTTCACAACAATGTATCTGCATACATTAAATATTTATGTAGTAAAACGATTTCCTATATCTCTTCACTACTCGTAATTTAGCAGTAGCAAACTAAATTTGATCCGATAATTAAAATTGAAACTGAAAAATACACAATTCTAATCTTGAACTTGATTCAATGAGCAGTAATAAATATAAAATATAATACCAAACAATTAAAAATTTTTTTAAACAATAAAGAAAAATTAAATTCTTCAGAAATGAAACTTTACTTTCGAAAAAGAAAAAAGCCTTTTTATAAATTTCAATCATAATCTTGATCTATTGTATATATTATATTCAAAATTGAATATTATTTAAATAACTTTTTTTTTCAAATGAAATTCTAAATAAATTTTTTTGATTGCATATTTTATGTTATGCGTGAAAAAAAGTTCAATAGCAAGAATATAAGTTCGAATTTATTATGCACATATCAATATGCAATAAGATGAGTAAGTATATTCTTATTAATAGCAAGTATTACAAATCGAATGACAAAGTATCATATGACGAAACTATAATAACAAGGACGCAATGAACTTTGAAACAATCGTGAAGATTTAAGTTTTTAAATTTAATGCTATAGCTACAGCTATGTTATGTATAGAGTAACTAAAATGATTTATATTTCAAATTTGATTAAAAATAAAAAAAAAAATAGAAAAGTAAAATAATATAAAAAAAAATACTTTTCTTTTTATAAGATTTTTTAGAATCGCATCCATTTGAGTATATATATAAATCTGTTGTGCATTTATTATTTAATATGTATACATATATGTAGATGTATGTATCCAAAGCTTATTAAAAATACTATTTTAAAAAAATGTATTTTTTTAAATGATTTATATAAATTTTATGCATTAATAAATATATTTTATTAATTTATTTTTCAGAAAATTACTATTTTATTTAAAAGCGATTAATTTAAGAAATATAATAATTTTTTATAACTCTAGAATATAAAAATCAAAAAAGCATAAATATTGTTTTTATGTATTTCTCTTTTTTCTCAATTTATAATCATAATGTACAGTCATCTAGATTGTATCTATGCTTATTATATTTTAGAATTAATTACCATATGTTAGAAATTATCAACTTGAATATTAATGAAGCAATTGACATGTGTAAATAACAAATTTGCATTTTTTTAATGTATTCCAGGAAATTGTGCATTAGAAAATATATATAAAATAAATTTTTTGTGTTCATAAAATTTAAAAATCAAATCTTATATGGATAGACATGCCGAAAATATTTTCAATGAATATATTGATTCAAAAAAGCAAAAAAATAAATTTTATATACGAAAATATAGTTATCTTTAATTAGTTTTTTCTCAATTTTTTCTATTTTTTTGTTTATATAATCGTATTTACTGCTAGTAATATTAGTGAAATTTCAATAAATTAATTATAATAATAAATTATATAATTATATTTATCTTATAATTATGAATAAAATATAAAAAATTTTATCAATTCTTATATTTTATCCGCAATTGAGATATTATAGATATCAAACCTATGAACGATACCAAAAATGTACAAGTCAATAACGCAACTATGTGACATTGTACCTAGAAAGCAGTTTCGAAAGCGAGTTGTTAAATAAAAGTTTACAAAATGAAAGTGTGGCATTGTAGATAGTGAGCCAAAGTAAAGTGAAAAAAAAGGAAGAAATAAAAAAATAAAATAGAAATACGAGATTATTTCAAATAATATTTAAAAATAAAAAAAATTAAATAATCAAATAAGATAATATTTTGGTAATTATTTTTCAAATGCTTTATTTTAACAATATGCAAATGAAAACTATGAGATCGATTTTGACAACGAAGGATAATAAGACAGTTTGACGAAAATTTAAAAAATTTAAAAAAAAATAATGATTAACAGTCGAATAAAATTTCAAAATAAATAAACTTTGTTCGAGTAATAAATACTGTACTTATTTCGCTTCGTTACTTATTCTATTTAAAATCGAATTTGTTAAATTAAGCGTGAAAAATAAATTTCTTCGAATTGGTTGGTATTATCAGATCTTCGTCTCATATTACCGTGCACCTGCGCAGGGTTAAAGTGAGAAAGAATAAGAGCAAGTGAGAAACTACTATTTGGGTAATAGTGAGTTCGGTTTTTTGCCACGCAGCAATAAACGCAAGTAACATGACAAGTTCGTTAGACAACAAGATTAGTAAATTGAAATTGAAAAATAAATTTAGAAAATAAAAGAAAAATGTAAATAAAAAATTATATTAAAAATATATTTCAAAAATTAATATTAATATAATTATCAATATTAAACAATTTGATGAAAACTTTAAATTTTGCGTTAACGAACACTATAAACGATGCTAAAACAAGAAATATTATAAATTATTGATATTATTAAAAAATAAAAAAAGAATAAAAAAATGATATACTATATACTTTTAATAAATGATATACTTTTATCTATCTTTTTTATTATCTATTCTCTATTTGATATAGAATGATATTTTATCATAAAAAATTATAAAAAATATTTAATTAACTATAAAAAAAAGAAATGTCCTAAAAATTATTAAAATTTTTAGAAAAGTGAAATATATAAATGAATGTTTCGGTATTTTTAAAAGCTAATAGTTAAGCTAAATAGTTAGATTAATTTATAAAACTTATAAACTTGAAAATTATTTCGATAAACAGAAATCAATGTACATTCAATTTTTTAAATCTTCAATTATTAAAATATTATCGTTATAGTTAAACATAAATATAAGATATTTCTATATATATTCTTTATAACTGATATATATATATATATATCGTATGATTATATAAAAATATAGAAAATATAAGAATATAAAAAATAAAAAAATATAAAAGAATATAATAATAATAAATATAAAAAAAGTATAGATAAGAAATAAAAATTAAAATTACTGCAATAAATGGAAAGTTCTCTATTAGAAAAATATT